CTGAAAATTCAGCTTTGCCACCACAGGAATAAATTATATTTAAAAAATATTTGTAATAATATTTTACAATATTAGTGTTTTTACTGTACTGTATTTTTGAAGAAATAAATGCAGCCATGTTGAACATAAGAGACTTCTTTCAAAAACTTCAACCCCAAACTTTTTACTGGCTACACATGGAACATTATTGTGACGTCACTTGCTCCATGTATTATTCTGTCTGTGTCCTGCCTTACACCTTACAATGTCACCATCAGTGGCGAGGAGTGACAAAGATGAGCTAAAAGGGAACGAACCATAGACAGCACAAGGAAGATAGAGCCTTAACCAGTTAGAAGAACAGACAGACTGAGCGAATTTCAGACATCAGAGATGACGCGCATGTTTTATTCATAAGAATGTCTGAAAAAGAGAGGCAGCGATGGACAGATGGAACGAAAGGGTGAGAGACGGAACAGGAAACAAGACGATGACAGGGCGAGCAGACTAGGAGAGAATAAATGTCCCTCATTTCCTGAACACAGTGACTGCAACGAAAAAAAACAAAAAACAATCAATTCCTGTGACAGTCAACCCCGAGAAAAAGAGTGTCCCTCGCTAATTCACACCTGCGCTTCTTTAACACACACACACACACACACACACACACACACAGAAATGTGTTTATCACACTATGCAGTGATTTCCCTTTTTGGCTATCCGCATGTGTGTGTGTGAGAGAGATAGAGAGAGATACAGACCTCTCCCAGCGAGTAGTAGTGGCGTGGTATCTGGGAGTCTGGGTAGACATTTTCTAGGTACCAGGAGAACGGCTTACACTGCAGTCTCTGTCTCAGGGATGTTCTGGATGAGATCTCTCCATAATCCACTTTCGTCACACCTGAAACAAACAAACACACACGAGAATGCAAAATGGTTAATAAACTTTAACATTTTGTTTTTCTAGGGTGCTATGAGTGGTTAAGATGCTAAGGTGTTCTGTGCTATGCAGTGCTCCAGGTTGCTAAGGCTTCGCTAAGTGGGTTGTACGGTGTTTGGAGTGGTTGATAAGTGGCACTATTAATCTTGTCAACAAAATTACTGCCAATTATGTATTTTAATGAAGTTTTTATTTTTATTTTGTCAATGATAATAAAGACAAAGTGGAAAAAGTATTGTTATTAACTAAAACAAACTTCTTAAAATCACTTTTGTTAAATGAAATAAAGCTGAAATAAACTAAGTTGTAAATATTACATGAGAACTTGGAGCAAAGAACTTAAATGAAAATTTGAAATGTTGCCATGGCAGCTAACTATTAAATAAGTTTAATTTGAAATACTAGCATTACTAAAATAAAGCTAAATAGAAATATAAAAAAAAACTAAAACTAGTACATTTCAAACTTACTAAACCTTTAACATTAAAATGAAAACTGAAAGTATATCAAAGTAAAAACATAATTCAAAATATTATAAATCAGATGTATAAATACTATTACAGTATATAAATAACACAATAAAACAGGGTGAAAGACATACATCATAATATTTATCGAATCTTTGAAGATTTGGTTTCATGTTGAACTTCATCAGTGTTATTTTTCATCCACTAAAATACATAGTAAAATTGTGAGATTGAAATGTTCACTATTTTGTAAAGATTATTTTCTTCAAAAGAGAAAACAACTGTGTACTGTGCTGGATATGGTTTAGAGCTGCACTTCAGTGTAACTGTTTTATTGTTCCCCAGACAAAACATTGTAAGTCTGATCGCTTAGAAATGTAATAAAACACTTCTCCTCCACAAGCGTCATGACTTGAGGTATCATTCATGTTTGTAGCACAAATGCTAAAGGACAAGTTACAGGATGAAGTTTGATACTGAAGGTCAGGGTTTTGTTCAAACGCTTGCTTTCCAGCCCTAACAATAAGGAGAGAGTACACAAAGGCATTTGTGTAGAGGAGGGAAAGAATAACACAATACGCACACAGTCACACAGATAGCTCTGAGCTGCACTGAACACTATTGACAGTGACATTAATATCTATTATCCAACATCTCCTTCGGAGTCAATACGGCTCGAGTTCCCACAAGCACTGATAATACGCACACACACCACATTAAAGAGCCAGACACAGAGATAGAAAGACACCAAGACAGAGAAAGGCAAAGAGACATGACTGGGAGAAGATAAGGAAATGAAACGTAATTTCAAAAACTGTCATTATTGTGTCCTACTATATTCTTGAGCTATGCGTGATTCCACAAACATTCATTGCATGTGTTGTTTGGGCAAAATGAGTCAAAATGCAATTCATAACCTAAAACAAGTATGTGTTATGCATGAAGTATGATTACACTGTACATTATATATTGTATTATCGATTGCATATTATATATTGTCAATGTTATATTATGTATTATATTACATTATAATTATATATAATGTAAACTGTTTATCATATAATAAATACTGTAAATGATATATTTATCTAGCGTAGCGTTAGTTCTGGCAGGTCACGTTAGCCAAGCTTGCATCAGCTGACTCTCAGCTGATCCCCATCAACCTATGGGAATACGACACCTATCTAAGTATTCATATATAAGGTCCCGCAGTAGTATCAGCAGTTTTCGCATTGCTCAATAGCTAATTACCCCCCTCCATCCCCAACTCCTCCTCTGTCAGTCGGGATTCAGCCTTCTGATTCTCCTTTGAATCAGACTAATTCTAAAATGTGTACATAAAATTATTGAACTTTAACAATATCTGCAATACATTTATGTTGGTTCTGTTCTGTTTACCCTGGTGGGGGGGTTATCGCTGCTCTCCCTGCTCTCATCCATGCTAGGCTGCATGGTGCGCAGGGAGTTATTGCCCAGAACAGAACCATACCGCCAATCCAAACTGTATGCTAATTGTCAATCATCTTTGACGATAGTGGTCCTGACAGAAATATATGTATATGTTGTATGTCTATATTGTTTGTGTGTATATATTGTATTTACAGTAACCATGTCACTACTTGAGTTATGTACTCCTCTATGTAAACTGAAATTGTGTGTACTGTTTGTGTTTCTGTATTTGCAAACTTCACTGTGTATCTGTTTATGGTGCAGATTTGTAGTATGTAAATGTGACTGACCAGGTGAAATGATGTAGAAGAAGTTCTTGAACTCATCCATCCAGACCTCTGCCAGCCGTCGGTTGTTTTTGTTGATGATCTGCCCAGTTCCACCGGGGAACGTGTACGGCGTCGCCTTACGGAACACGTGACCGACGTGAGAACATGTGACAATCTCAAGCGTCCCCCCGCATTGCCAAATCTGATAAACAAGGATAAATATTAGTTCTCAGAGCATGAACAAATCGTCAGTAACTTTATATGCACTATATATGCTCAAGTGGAATTGTGGAAAGGACTGCAGTTGTGGTTGAATATTATAATATCAGTGTTGAGACTGACCCTGAAGGAGATCTCCAGGTTCTCTCCCCCCCAGATGTCCATGCCTGCATCATATGTGCCAATCTCCTGGAAATAATCTCTGTCTATGGAGAAGAGACCACCTGCCATAGTGGGGGTCCTGATAGATGATGCAAAAACAAAAAAACACACAGAGTTTTACTGTAAAACAGGCCCTTCAGGGGAACGATCATATCTTATAAAAGCAGCTCTTCCTCTCCTGTTCACTCTGTTACAAACAAGCAAGTTGCGTGTCACTCAGGGGAACGAGATCTTAAATAGAAATGACATGTTTACATGCGCCAATTTTGGCAACAACATATCCTTCTTTAAATATCTTTCACTCGTGTTCGTCCATTTCCCTCAGCAGGCGCTCTCTGTTCTTTCCTGTTTTCCTTCCATCCATCCCCTGCAGCACGTCTCATTCACAGTCATGTTTTCCTCAAGTAAGAACCTGTTGTTGTTATGCAGAGTACCAGGCTCTGAAGTAAAAAGGAGATGAAGTAAACGAGGGGTAGTGAGGGGAAAAAATACAAAAATAAAGAGTGGAGTGGCATCAGAGCGTTCTGATAAAAACAATGTGCTGCTCTGAAAAACACAGGATCTGTGAAGAAACCAAGCACTAGAAGGCTAAGAGCTACTTTGTTCCCGTAGTTATGAGGTGAGCAGGTAAACACACTCTCCTCTCGGCAAAGTGCTGGTGTGGATTAAAACTCCGCTCATCTTTGTGTTAACTGCAGTGTTTAGCTGCAGGGCTGGAGAAACACTTTCATATTGTGTAGCTTTAAGTTGCATGTAAAATACCTTTTAGAAAGGATTTTCTAAATTGGAGTCATTGCCTAGTGGTTAACACACATACTCATGCACATACTCGTGCTCATGCAGGCAATTTGAGTTCAAATCTGTCTTGTGACATTTCTACTTCTTCTCACTTACTGTTTACAGTCCTATCTCTTACATTAAAAGGTCTCTAAAAGGCAGAGAAATTAAGTATCTGAAGAGAAGTTGTGTTCGAAATGGAATACTGATGTACTGTACACACAGTGCCTATAGCACTACTTTGTTCAATAATCGTATGTGGAAACTGATCATATGTGACAATAAAGATACATTACAAGAGTAATACTAATTACAGTACAACAATACATTTATATTTATTACAGTAGTAGCACACTGCTGTCACATCCTGAAAAAGACATTATATGTAAAAAGGAGATTAAAGAAGTATCTGATGCTCACCAAGCTTGCATTAATTTGATCAAAAATACAGCAAGAACAGTAATATTGTGAAATATTATTAGAGTTTAAAATATATAGATATTTTTTTATTTAAAATGTAATTTATTCCTGTGATCACAAAGCTCAAACAAATGATCCCTTTCAGCAGGTCACTTTGATGTTGTGTCGAAGTTCCGACACTAGGGGTCGCACTTGGGAGCCCAGACACCTCTGACAACATTGAGAAAAGGCGTCCCGCGTCGCTCCACGGCAGTGTCGCACCGCTGTGCGTGTCAGTGCGTGCTGAAGCTCCCGCGCGAGCAGCAACGCCTCGGGGGCGGTTCAAGATGGCGCTCTAGCAACATGTGAGTTGATGTGCTCTGCAAACTCAAATGGTGAAATTGACTTTTAGTGCTTTCAGAATAAGACTATATCACTTTTTTTTTACTTCTAATAGCAATTTGTAGACAAATGTCCTAGTAAAGAGTGGCACAATGGGCAAGTCTGAAAAAAGAAAAACAGAGCGCTTCGCAGGCTAATACTAATCCTGCTATCAAAAGCAATCATGAAACGCTGCAAGCCTCTAATAATCTTGCGACAGAGAATCTGCATGATTACGTTAAGACAGACTTAGAGGCAATTTCTGACGAATTCATGTTGTGCGAGGAGGAATTTCCTACACTTTTAGACACGCCATGCAAATCTCCTGCCGCCAAACAACGGAAGACCGAGCGATCTGATATTGCTGACGTACTCTCACAACTTGGAGCACTTTCTCAATTAATAAACACTCGGTCTGATTCCCTGGAGAAAATGATAGGAGAAAATACACGCGCGATTACTAACATGAAGGAGGTAATAAATGAAAATACCAAGCAAATCACAAGTGTCAAGGAAGCTATCGAGTTTATGAGCGAGGAAGTTAACGGTCTGAAAAGCAAGTACGGAGCAGTGGAGTCCAAGATGGGCAAAATGGAGCAGACTACCTTTGAGCAAGAGAGAAGACTAACACATCTGGAAAGTTATTCGCGACGGTGGAATTTAAGAATTTACGGAGTCCCAGAGAAGGAGAGAGAAGATGTTCGACTACAGGTTATCCAGTTGTGTCAGCGACTCCTGCCAGAGGACAAGGACAAACTTCCGAACGCCATTGATATTGTACACCGGCTTGGTCGCAAGCAACCGAACAAAACCAGAGGAATTATTGTTCAATTTGCCTCCCGGTTCAATCGCGATGCTGTGTGGCGTGCAGCAAAGGAGTCTACTTTTCTCAGGGAAAATGGCCTGAAAATATCTGAGGACTTATCTCCAGCAGATAAAGAGAGGAGGAACAAATTATGGCCGGCAGTGGAAAAAGCAAGACAAAATAACAAGCGTGCTTACTTTATTGGAGGTAGGGCGTTTGTAGAAGGAATCGAAATATTCCCTCCAGCCTGAAATTTCATGTAGCTGACCTGGATATACATGAAACTTGTTTCACTATGTACTGAAACAGTGGGCTAACGAGAGTCTATTTAATTTCGAGATTGTTGCTTTATTTTAAGTTTTTTATTTATTTATTTTTTTCTTCCCCTTAAAAGACAAAGAAAAAATAATTTAGTTGGTATTTTGAAGGAATATACTATAATTACTGCCATCCTAAGTTATAATTGTTGATATAATTATGAGAATATAAATACTATTGAGATTTGTTTTTGCATACCTTTTTTTTTTTTTTTTCTTCTCCACCCCCCTTTATTATGACTTAGAAGGCATTCTAATCTCAGGAATTTGTTCTTGTAGCTCTCGTTCCTTGTGGGGGAAAAACAAAGACGATAACTTTGATGGTTCTATTATTATATTAGCTGTATTTACACTACAGAAATAAGACATTTGAAATTACAAGATAAAAGATTACTCATGTTCTATGGATGTTGATGTCTAAATTCTGAATTGCCCTACTTCATTTGTACTAATATAGAGTTTGCTGTTCTCATCATTTTGCGTGTATAGTTAACACATTTTCAGAGACCAGTTCAATCTACTTTTATAGTAGGCTTTTCTTTCTCCTTTTATGTCTCTATCTATAATTTCTTTTAACACTAGAGGGTTAAGAAACATTACAAAAAGGAAAGCAATTTTTTTGTTTCTTAAACAATTTAAATCTGACTTTTATTTTCTGCAAGAATGCCACTCAACCAAGGAGGATTGTGTTTTCTGGAGATCTCAGTGGGGGTTGATTTATGGATGGCTCATGGAACAAGTAACTCAGCTGGTGTTTGTATTCTTAAAAACCGTTTTGATGGGAAGATTGTATGTTCTGATTGTGATCCTGGTGGACGTTATATTTGTCTTGTACTGGAAATTTCGAATGTAACAGTTATTATTGTTAATATTTATGGGTTTAATCAACAGAAAGATAATGAAAATCTTATTGATCAAGTGGAACAACATGTGTTAAATTTGCTAGCCAAGTATCCAAACAGTTTTTTAGTTTTCGGAGGGGATTTTAACGTGGCTTTGGATAACGTCTTAGACAGATGGCCTCCAAAGTCTCCTGATAATTCTAGTTTGTATTTAAAGAGGTTTATGCAACGATTTTCTTTACTTGACAGTTGGAGAGAAACTCATCCATCTCAAAAAATATTTACGTGGAACAATAATTCTCTCTCAAACCAATCTCGTGTCGATATGTGGCTTATCTCTAGAGATTTAAATAATGTATATTATTCCATCACCGCTTTCTGATCACAAATGCATCTCTATATGCATTCCTCTTTCAGATACTGCTAATTTACAAAGAACTACCTCATATTGGAAGTTGAATATTTCATTGCTTAAGTACAAGGAAGTAAAGGATAAAATTAATTTTATAATCACTAATTATTGGGAAAAGCTAATAAGGGAAATAATTTTTGTAGTAATTGGGAATTGGCGAAGTATGAAATTGGTAAATACTTGCGTACTTTTAGTAGCAAACTGACTAAAAAGAAAAAAAAATGAAGAGAGTATTATATGTATTATAATATGTAAAATCTCAAATCTTCTATCTAAAATGGTTCTGTCTGATGCTGAAAAAGTTGAGCTTGCTCATCATCAAAATGCGTTAGATGAGTTTTATAAACAAAAGGCTGAGGGAGCATTTGTTAGATCATGGAAAAGATGGATTGAGGAAGGTGAACAAAACTCTTCTTATTTTTTTAGACTAGAAAAACAACAAATGAAAAAAAATCTGATTGGAAAGCTTATAATTGATGGATCTCTCTGTGAAGACCAAAAGACCATTACCAATTTCTGTGCCAAATTCTATCACGATTTGTACACATCTAAATTTAACAAACAGCATGCTCATGATTTTTTTGAGACGTTATTTTCCATTAGTCAATTAAGTAGCATTGATCAAGCCATTTGCGATTCTCCCATTATTTTAAAAGAAATTGAGGAAGCAATTAAATCTTTAAAAATGAATAAATCCCCTGGTACAGACGGTCTAACATCAGAATTCTATCATATGTTCAGTAAAAACATAGCCCCTTTTTTGTTAAGACGTCTTTAAGGAAAGCATAAATAAATATTTTCTTCCACCTACATTATGTCAAGGGTTGATCACTTTAATTCCCAAGCCAAGTAAAAATATTACTTTATTAGATAATTGGCGTCCAATAACGTTATTAAACAATGATTATAAAATAATTGCTTTAGTACTGGCCAAAAGATTAAAAGGAGTATTACATTCTATTATTGATGAAACACAATCTGGCTTTATGCCAGATAGATACATATCTAATAATATAAGATTAATATTAGACATTTTAGATTATTCTGATATAATTTATAATGACAGCTTCATCTTTTTCTTAGATTATTATAAAGCCTTTGATACTTTAGAACATGTTTTTTT